GTAAGAAACTAGCACTAAGCCTCACCAGTATCACAGAAAAATATAATTTGCTCGTCCGCTACATCTAGAGCTACCCAGGGCTCCTGTGCGTTCCCGGTGCCGCTCCTCGTCCAGGCCTCTCCCCTGGCGACCGCGGTGAGGGGTGAGCTCATGCCCCTGGGAGCAAGGGCAGTCTCTCTCCCAAAGCCGAGGATCTTCTCCTGCGTCTGACTGGTCTGACGGGCCGGGTGGCTCCCGCGGGCATGCCTCTGCCCGGGTCCTGCTTGCTGGCACTCAAAGCACTCTCCCTTGTTCCCATGGCTCTTTGGATTACCTTGGGCTCCCCAGGAGTCGCGGGTTTTGTCACAAAACTTAGCAGACAGGGCGAGCAAGGCCTTAGCCTGCCTCGTTCCCGGCGCCGTTCCCGTCTGCCCTGCACTTTGTCACGGTTATTGAGCACGGGGTAAGCTTCACCGATCAGGCGGCTTATTTCAGTTTTGGGCCCAGGTGGAGTTTTTGGAGCTTTTTCCTAGTATCTGGAGCTGACTGAGTGATAAAGAACTGCCTTTGGACAACCCAGCCTTCTGCGGACGCGAGGGTGAACGAGCGTATTTACGGAGGGCCTGACAAGCAACTGAGTTCTCCTGGGGCCTCGCTAACAGACCCGAGCCTGTCGGGGCTCACAGGTTTAGGCATCCCCGTTGCATACCAGCTAAAATGGCCTTGATGTATCGCTTTCGATTAGCTGCCCCGCCCCCTGCATCATAACTCCACTCAGGCCCTTCCCTCCACTCAGACCAAAATAATATCACAGTCTGCAGATGATCAGAGGGTGAAGCTGCAAGGGCTGCCCCACCAGCCTGCTTTGCAGCCCTGTAAATCCTTTTCCTTTGTGCCGCTGTGCAGCAGGAGACCGAGGGAACTGGACATCACCAGGGCAGGTCAGAGGCCATTGTTAGGGTACAGAAACCAGCAGGAAACCCTTCAGGATCCTCAGAAAATCTCCCGTTTTCCTTCATACTGCCAAATATGCACAACTGAGAAAGGAGTGACCCCGAAGACGGTCCCCTCGGGGTCTGTCACTTCTTAAAGGGGTAGAAAAGTGCAGGGCTTAGATGTTGAGTGCCCTGAATCTGGGGCCCTGTAGTAGGTAGACCCGGACCAGGTACAGGGAGGGCTCAGGAGATGGCCTTTATCTCCGGACGGTGCTGACTGAGCAGGCTACTGAGGAGGCAGCCTATGGGGAGGAGGAGCCGACAGCAGGGAGGCCTCGGCAGGCCAGCTCCTGAGGGGCCACAACTTCTAGGCACAAACCAGGCCCCTGGGAGAGGGCATCGGGGCTTGAACCTAAGGCACCTTTAGCTATTTTCCCAGTTCCTTACAGTAAAAGTGCAACTGAAATCCCGCCTTCTATTTCAGGCGGCCGGGGGATGCCCGCATCTCCCCAAGTGGACACATAGGCTATTTTTATTACGCAGGAGTGTCAGATGATCTCGTGGAAGGATCTCAGGGATCTGGTGTTTGGGATTCTTCTTCCCAGTGCTTGAGGGTGGAATTAGAAGGAACAGATAAGGCATTGCCCACGATATGTCGGTAGATATTGGGGTAGAAGCTAGGTTTTGTGATCCTCCAGGCCTATCCCTGGGTGCGTTGCTGGGAGTGGGATATAGCAGGGCTTCCCCTGGTGTCTCCATTTCCTAGACCTGTCCCTGGGTCCATCCCATCAGTGGAACACTGGCAGGGCGTCTCCAACCCTGAGCCATCAGCCCCAGGCTCATAAGCGAGTAAAGCTGAACCCCTTGGAGAGGACATCTTCAGGATTACCTGGAACTCTTTCCGGCTTGCTCAGAAAGCCGAACTCCCGGGGCTGCCCCTCCCCAGCACCCTCGAGGGCTGTGCCCCTTTCCTCTGGAAACTTCCGGTCTCCGTCTGTCCACAGAGCCCACACCTACAGCCACGCCTGGGAAGCCTCACTGCTCTGTCTCAGCCTGTCTTGAAGCCACCTAATATCCTGCTTCGGAGGGACAGCAACGGCCTCGCTCCACACAACCCCAGACGCCGACTCTTTCCCTGTGGATGTGGCTCTCAGCCCCTCGGGGAGAAACACTGGCATTTTCACAGACGGCATTCCACTAACTGGGGGTCCGAAGGGAGGGAATAAGGCCCAGAAAAACTTGAAGCCACAAAGCATATGCTTCTGGGGACAAAAGCTCAAAATAAAAGCCAGGCAATATGCAAATTCAGTCCACAGATACAGGTTACACATCCTTTTCGACAGGGGCAAAAACTCAAAGCCCCTATCCCAGCTGTCACAGCATAAGCAAAGCTGAGTGGAAGGGACAGCGCACCAGCCTCGGAGCACTAACGTAGGAGGTGCAGCTCTAGGCGGCCTCCTGGACCCAGCTGGAAGTCGGCGTGGCCGCTCCGTCCTTGGCCACCGTGGGCAGGAGCGGGGGTGGGAGTTCAGATGTGGACAAACTTTTCCACCTGGCGCTGGATGACGCTGTACCTGTTACCTCTGTCCCTTGACCTGCCCACAACCAAACAGACTGAGCACCCTGATGGCCGGAGGCCCGAGGGGAACAGGGGACCAGAAAAGAGGAAGAAAATACCGAAACCCACGGGGAGGAAGAGCTTGGCGTGAGCCTGGGGCTCGAGCCTCACAAACACCCTTGGGGCTGGAGGGCGAGCTGCCCAAGTCCAGGGCAAGCTACCAAGCACGCAGCAGAGACAACATCAGAGCACTCGCCTATGGTGGCTTCTCCGCTTGGCTCGGCTGAGGGCCATGCCCACGGGGGCCTGTGTCACGGCGTCCGGGACAGATCTGCCACACCGTATGGATCACCTCAGGGCAGAGGCCCAACTGACTGGCAGGTTCTTCCTGTCCCAGCCCCATGCCTTCCACACGCGTCCTAGTCACCTGCAGTGAGCAGGTGAGCGGGAAAGGGAGGTTAGGCCTCTTTGGCCGGGTGTTGCGGTTGCCCGCATCTGCTGAGGTCTCTGGGTCACCGTGGAGTGAGGTCCCGCGGCTGCTCTTCAGTGAGGTCTCCTGAGGCCTGGTAATGTCCTCCCGGCTGGCTCAGTGGGTCTTACAGGGGAATGGGCCATAACAGTCCAGGGCTCTTGTGCAGGACGAGGAAAGAATAGCCAAGCACGCACCCAGCGGTAAGCGGCGAGCAGCTATGGTTACTGAAGGTCACAGGGAGCTGTGCTCAGGGCTGTCTACGCCAGCAAAGGCACAGCACAGACCAGGAAAGACAGGGTGACAGAAAAGCACCGCACACGGGTCAAAGGCAGCCACAGCACCAGAGAAAGGGGACGATCACGCGGGCTTTCAGAAGGTGGAGGCGGACGCCTCTGACTCAGGCGCCTCCCGCTGAGTCTGGCCGTGTGCTTGACAGGAGTGATTGACAGCGGGCTGAGCCACCTTAGGGTCTCTTAGCACGCATGCTCTCCCAGAATTCACTGACCCTGACTATATGTATAAGGTGTAGTGCATATTTATGAGCCTTTAAGGAGGCGGAAGGAGTGTAAAGGTCGGAAGTTCAGGCTGGAAGATTCAGCCGCACGTGCTCTAGCCTAGGAGATCCCCTAAGTTTTTGTCATTTATTTTATTGTCTCCCTCTCTCAGGGCAAGGAAGCAGGAATAACCTTTGGGTGCTATTTAGAATTAGGTGGAGGGGCCGGGCGTGGTGGCACACACCTGTAATCCCAGCACTCGGGAGGCTGAGGCAGGAGGATCATTGCAAGTTCGAGAGCAGCCCGGGCTACAGAGTGAGCTCAAGGCCAGCCTGAACTGCATAGCAAGACCCTGTCTCAAAAAGACAATATATATATACATATATGGAGAGAGAGAGAGAAAGAGAGAGAGGGAGAGAGAGAGGGAGGGAGAGAATCAGGTGGAGGGAAGGGTGTGGCTTCTCAGCTCCATTGTTTCTAATTTGGTTGTGGGGTCCCTGGAGACCCCCGGCTCAGCCCACCTGTGCTGTGAGTTACAAAGACCACTCTGGCCCTCCCACCCTTGAAGCTGTCCTGGGGGGGGCGGTCCGGGCCTGGGGTTGGGGTGGTCTGTCCCAAGTGGCCTCAAGTGACCGATCAACCCATCCACTCCCTCTTCCTAGCTCCTCCACCGCTGGGACACTCGGGTAAGTGAGGGCCCCCCAGGCCTGAGTCCCACCCTGCTGGCCCCGGAAAAGCCAGTCTGGCTCCAGGGTCTTTACTGCCTCACCCCACTGTCTCAGGGGTCGCCAGGCCCTGGGGCCCCACCTCCCTGGAAACCCTCCTGCACACCAGGCCACTCTCCAGCCCCAGCCTGTCTCTCTGGTGATGGTCTTTGCTTAGCCTCAATCTCCTTTTTTCCCTCATTCCACACTAGCACATGAAAAACTTTCACCTTGCGTCTGTCCTGGGCTGATGGAGGGGCCATCCTGAGGTACCTCCAGGCAGATGGTGCAATTCTGGCATCCACCACAAGGTGGCGGCAAAGGCTAGCGCATCCTCCCTGGGTTCCACGACTCTCCCTTCAAGGCTGTTGAGGTCCCTGGCACAGCAGAAGGGGCAGGCGCATGGGGGAGTGCCCTCCCCACAGTGCCCGGAGCGCGTGTCACCACCCTCCCTTTAAGACTGGGTAAACTGAAGCCTGGAGCAGAGATGGCCCTCGTCACCAACACGCGGCTCAGCGACTCCTCACCCACTGACTCATCTGACACATCACCAGGGGCTGTTTGGCTTTCTCTGAAACACTCACCGGCAACCCTGAAAAGGCCCCAGAGCGGCCAGGGAAGGAGGCAGCCCGTGCCTGTGCCGTGTGGGCACCTTTTGGCCCCCGCCTCTTGGCCACGGAGCATGGGAGGCCTCCTGAGGGCCAGACTCCCGCAACAGCACCCACGGGCGCCCACCCACGACAAGGGGAGGAGGGCTGAGGAGTTTGACCACTTGGTGGTTGAGCCAGAAGATGGAGGAGGGCAAGCCGACAGGCACAGGTCCTGAATGGGAACCTGAAGTCAACGAAAAGCCGGGGCTTCAGCAAGCTGACAGACCGGGGGCCCAAGTGCAGCGGCGCCTCGGTTTACTTCATTTGCTGTATGATGTTGAGGAAGGTCGCTGCGTGTGGGGGGGAAGCTGGACGGGGTCATGTTTGTCTCCCAGTGTAGAATTTGCAACCAGAAGCAAAGAAGCAAAATTTTGCTGAACGCTTTTGCTTTTGAACCGAACTGTTTGCAAACAGAAGTGTTCCGGAACGGAGACACTGCGGTAATTAACTTCAGCAAACTGACTATCAGGGCGTGATGGAATGTAAGGGACAAAGAACGGGTCCCTGGACAAACGGGAGACACCTCAGAGAAAGTCCAGTGTGAAGGAAGCAGCCCGCGGTCCGGACATCACCAGCCTCCCTCGGCCAAGGGCATCCCTGCATCCCGTCCTGCTCACTGTGTCCAAAATCTGTAAAAAGCCAGTGGACGTCAGCATCTACAGTGTCCACCCGCAGAAGCGGTCCCCAGCCCGCAGGGAGCTCTGGCCTTTATTCCTTCTGTTAAACGTACACTGGCTCACTCCCCGCTGCTTGCTCCGTGCTGTCCTGTCGGCTTCACTCTTGGTTGTCCCCAAGCCAGAACCCAAGAGCTGGAGGGAGCCCCTTCCAGTGTCAGCAGGAGGCTTGGCAAGGCCGGCCCCACACCAGCCAGGCCAGCAGCAAGAAGAAGAGCAGGGTGAGGGCCACAGCCAAAGTCACCGAGAGCACCAGGTCTGAATCCTCCCGGCCAGGAAGGGCATCAACAGGGGCATCACCAAGGGCGTTGGGGGCTCCGGAAAGCTGGGTGCCAGAGATCCTCTCCCCGTGGGGCCCTGGGCGGCCCATCTGTGGGAGGGAGAGAGGCACAGTGTCCCCACCTGCCACCCTGTGTACCCTCCTGTCCCACTCCCGCGGGGCGATGGGGCATCACAGGGCTACGAGGTGCCCTTCCCACGAGCCTGGACACACCCCTGCCTCAGCTTTCTCCTCTGAAGGGTGGAGAGGGAGAAGGCCCCACCCACCGGCTTCTCGCCCCCCTTACCTTGCCTTGGGGTGATAGTTCTGGAAAATCAGAAATGGGCAGACCCCTCGGGAGACCTCGGACCCGGTGCTGGTCCCAGAATGCGGCCTGGCCAGTTCACCGGGGCACCAGGAAGCTGTCAAACTGGTCTACGGGGACCTTTGTCAAACCTGGGAAGAAGCTAATCCCGCACTGCCAGCTGCCCTCTGCCTGAATGGCTGGAGCCAAGGGTTACACCGGCTTACCCTCCTCCGCCCACAGGCCGGGCGGCTGAGGTAACCGGCGGTCGCTCCCACCAGCGCTCCCTGCAGGGCTGCTGCAAGGCGGCCCCGTCGCATCCGTCTCCGATGGAAGAGGGGGCTCAGGAGCTGAGGCCCGGAGGTTGACAGGCGTAGGGGAGAGCCTCAGGCCCCTTCGCGGGACAGCGGCAGGGCTCGACGTGGGCCCAGGAGGCAGGTGGGCTCCTCAGGCCCAACCCCAGCTGAGCTCTCTGGGGCCCTCTGGCTCTTAAATTTCTGCCCTGCAGCGCTGCAGGGCACTCACCTTCCACCCCCAACACCCCAGGGACAGCACTGGCAGGGGGAGCCCCGCTGGACCCCTTGGGCCTCTGTTCCGTGGAAGCCGCTGCCCGGCTGGAGCCAGAGGGCTGTGCTGCACTGCAGGAAGTGAGGGACCTGGCCAGGTCTGGGCCCCCACCCTCCTGTGGGTGTGTCAGGGCCGGAAAGGCCACCAGCACCACCAGGCCCGTCCCTGACCAGCCCTCCTGCTGCCGCTCAAGCCAGACTCCCCAGGGGTCTGAGCTCAGGAAGGCACAGGCTCTAAATTCAAGGGAGCAAGGTCTTCCAGGCTTCTAAGCTCAGCATCATGCCAGGTACAGCCCTAGAGGCCGGGCTGGGCCGGGCGGGCGGAAGCAGCCAGTCTGCCAGCAAGCGCTAGCAAGGACCACGGTGACGACCCTGCAGGAAGAACTCATCACATTGTTAATTTAAATACAGAAACAATTTCTTCATAAGCAGGCAGAGCCCGGGAGGGCTGCTAAAGCCACTACTGTTGGTGTCAGCCTTCTAGCCCCGACCAGAGGCTCCTGACCGACTCTCAGAGGGGACAGGGAAGAGCAGACGGGGATGTAGGCTGCGTGCGTGACCCTGCTCGGCAAGAAAAAGAGGCCAACCTGAAAACCACACCAGGAAAGTCCCACATCCCCCAAACCACACAGAGTGAGGCCGGCCCGAGCCATCTTATCTACGGTCACAGAAGGCGCAGCCGTGACTTCCTGGGCTGGGGCGGGGACTTGAAAGACTCAAGGCCAGGGAAACTGCCAGGGTGAGGGAAACATTCTTCATCAAGATCAGGGAGTTGGAAAAAAAAAAAAAAAAGATCAGGGAGTTGTTCTGCTTTACATGGTTGTCAAACTCATTAGCAGATACCCTTAAGGTGAGCTGTTTTTGCTGTCTATAAATCACACCTTAATAAAATTAATTTTTAAAAAGAGCCAGAGGCCAGGTATGGTGGCGCAGCCCTATAGTCCCAGTACTCGGGAAGCTGAGGCAGGAAGATCATCCTGAGTTCCAGGCCAGCCTGGACTACATAGTGAGACTCTGTCTCAAATAAATAAGTAGCCAGAAACAAGAGCATGATCCCATTTAAATGAGCTACAAGAGAAGGAAGTCTAACCCGCAATATGGGAAGAGGGATTCAATGGGAGGGGAAGCCTCGGACTTTCCAGGGTGATCAGAACTGCTTCCTGACCTGGGAGGTGATTACAGGCACACACAGAGCTGATTCATTGAGCTGCGAATTTAAAATTTGTTCTCTGTCCAGCTGGGTGTGGTGGTGCACACCTGTAATCCCAGTACTCAGGAGGCTGAGGCAGGAGGATCACCATGAGTGCAAGGCCAGCCTGAACTATATAGCTAGACTGTCTCAAAAAAAAATCCCAACAAAAATTATTTATTTCATTCTCTCTCCGTTCAAGGTGGTCAAGGGTCATCATTTACTGGGGGTGTCTGCACCCGAAGTCTGCTGAGCGGTGAGATGACCGAACTGTGAGGCACAGCAGAGGACTGGCTGTGCACACGGCCGGACCGGCGCTTGGGCAGGGGCGGGAAGGCCGGCAGGGCTGGGCGCGAGGGGACGTCCTGTCTCTCAGCCGTACTTTCTCTGTTGTCCCACTACATCATACTTCTATTGTAATAAAAGGGAACCGAAACTTAAAAAAAAAAAAAAAAAAAAGCCTTCTTATTTTAATTGCTAACGTTTGGAAATAACCCAAACGCTCAACAACAGAGAATTAGCTTGAAGACCGGCGGCGCAGAAGAGGAAGTGACCCAGCCTCTCCCTGAAAAGTCACAGGACAGCTGGACTCCTTGACTGTGGACTCTAGAGATCAGGGCGGGCTGCTAGGGAAGTTTCGGTTTTGGTTTTTCTTAGCGATAAACTTATATTATTACTTGAATGATTTGCCACCACGGAAGTTATTTTGGCAAACAGAAAGGGCCAAAGGTTGGGGGAGAGAAATCCTGCCTCCCGGCGCCCTGCCCGGCGCCCTGCCCCGCCGCAGGCCCCGCCTGCTCACTGCCCAGAACACTTTGGGTCAGCACCTGGTCACCGGGGCGGGCAGCGGGATCATCGGCAGGTGGGATGCGCAGGTGGGAGCAGCGAGTGGGCGGGCAGAGGCGGGCGGGCGTTCGCTGGGTGACCCTCGCGAGTAGCTTCGCCTCTCGGGCTCCGGCTGGGGCTCGTCCCTAGCGGAGCAGAATCCCGGGGACGCCGACGGACCACACCCGCTGGGCCGGGGAAGGCTGGACCACCCTACGCCTGCGGCCGGGATCAGGGGGCAGAGCCTGCATCCGACATACGCGCGGCATGCGGCCGCCCCATTGGCCGGCGCGGCACCACAGGCCCGCCCCACAGCCAATCGCGGGCGGGGGGCGGAGCCTGGCGGTCCCCGCGGTGCGCTGCGGCTGGGCGCGCACCCGGCAGATGCTCCGAGATGCAGGAGCCGCTGCTGGGCGCCGAGGGCCGCGACTATGACACCTTCCCCGAGGGACCGCAGTCGCCGGGGCCCGGGGCGCGGCCCGGGTGAGCCCGCGGGTGGGAGCGCGGGTGGGAGCACGGGCGGGACTGCGGAGGCCTGGTCCGGTCCTCAGGAGACCTTTGGCCCTCGCCCCGGGCCTCCTCGGACCAGGCGAGGGGTCGCAGGGACCCCGGCCTCTCCTGCCGCACGCGCGCACGGCGTCCCTGGGAGAGGGAGGGACTGCCTGGGGGGTGCAGCAGGCCAGGCCCTGGCTGTCGGGGCCCAGCGGGGAGCAGCCAGCCTGAGGTCACACTGCAAACCTGCAGCAGCGCCGCGGGCGGCGCCCTGGGACTCCGGGAGGGGATGTTTGGCGGCGGCGTTGGGCGGTCCTGGGCTCGAGAAGGACGGGGTCCTGCCAGGAGGGCCTAAGAGACCCTGGTCCTTCTGTCCCCCCTTCCGCTCGCTCCCAGGGTTCTGCAGAGCAAAAAGGTGTTCCTGGCCACCTTCGCTGCCGTGCTGGGCAATTTCAGCTTCGGCTACGCCCTGGTCTACACGTCCCCTGTCATCCCCGCCCTGGAGCGTTCCTCCGACCCGGATCTGCGGCTGACCAAAACGCAGGCGTCCTGGTTCGGGGTAAGGATCAGGCTCTGGAAGGAGTGTGGCAGGGGAGCACCCACCACTAGGGACCCCCGAAGCTCAGCCTGGGGGCCCCTCCAGGGCCCCACCCGCCACCTTCCTACTCAGGGCAGCTGGCTGGCAGGTGGGGCAGAGGAAACAAAAGCCAAAGGGGAGCTCTGGGAAGAAGCAGGGAGGTGGTGGGCCCCCAGGGCTCCCTAGGCCCCAGACCCACAGCAGAGCAACACCCTGGACAGATGGGGTAGGGGCATCAGGTTCCAGTGGGAGGGGCACCGGCTGGGGAAGGACTGACTGGGACCCTAAGAGTCCAAGGTCCGACAGTTACCGGCGCAAGAGCCTTGGACGTGAAATTACAAATTGGCAGCTAAGGTGAAAACCCTAGGGGCTCACTGAGCCCTTAGAACATGCCTTGACTCCCAGGACCAGCCAGGGCAAGGAGACCTCTTGCTTTCCTCACAGTCCATCTGGAGAAACTGAGGCTCAGACAGGCTAAGCAATGGGCCCCGCTGCTAGCGAGTAGCAGAGCCCCGACCCTCCAGGGAGTCCAAGGCCTTAATCTCAAGGTCTCAAGGCCTTGAAGTTCCAGAATTCTCCTGTATTAAAACATTAGATGCTTAAACATCTGCTGGACAGAACCACTGCTCGTATACCTCTGGAGCCAGGAGGCTCACTACCTCACTGACCCTCGAGGCTTCTGGGATCAGCTGCGGAAGCTGTGATTGGAAGTAGGGTGTTCAGAGTCTGCACCCCTTCCTCCACAGTCCATCTTCACTCTGGGTGCTGCAGCCGGAGGCCTCAGTGCCATGCTCCTCAACGACCTGCTGGGCCGGAAGCTCAGCATCATGTTCTCAGCAGTGCCCTCTGCCATCGGCTATGCCCTCATGGCTGGCGCCCAGGGCCTCTGGATGCTGCTTCTGGGGAGGATGCTGACAGGCTTCGCTGGGGGGCTCACAGCCGCCTGCATCCCGGTAAGGCGGGGCCCGCGCAGCCTTGGAGTTGATGCCAAGCCACAGCTGGGTGAAGGGCTCCCGGCCCCCGCGGCTCTGCTCAGCTGTGCCTGAGGCTGCCCCAGGAGCCTTCGCTCGCCCCACCAGGGCAGCTGATCTTGGGGAAATTGTCCCCGTGTCCCCAGCCGTCCCCACCCTGGCTCTGCACACTTCCTACCCAGTTTCTTGGCCACAGACATTGCTCAACCAGAGAAAACACAGAGAGCAACAGGAAGGAAGGGGAAGTACCCTTCCCATACCCACTGGGACCTTCTCACACACGCATCAGCTGGCCCCATGAGCCAGGGGCAACCAGTTGGGGAGAAACACGCCTGCTCAGCCCCCTTGTCTGGATGCCCCCAGCCTTGTAAATCCCTGGCCTCGAAACCCCCATTTTAGACCCAAGTGCTGCTGTCCCCTTTACAGTGAGGGATCTGAGGCCAGAGGGCATGCAGGGAGCCACGACAACAGCTCTCCCGGCAAGCCAGGCCTAGGAACCTGCATTCACCAGAGCCCCAGGGGCACAGTGGGATGTGTGTCTTGCAGGTGTACGTGTCTGAGATTGCTCCCCCTGGTGTTCGGGGGGCCCTGGGGGCCACACCGCAGCTCATGGCAGTGTTTGGATCCCTGTCCCTCTACGCGCTGGGCAAGTATTCCCTGCGTGGTGTGGGCAGGCTCAGGTGCCACTGAGGCAGACAAGTAGAAAGGGAACGAACACGTCCAGCATCCACAGGGAGCCCAGGGCCAGGAGGCAGCAGACAGCTTCCCAGGCCGCAAGCCACTGCCACCGCCAATCCCTCTAGCCAGTCCCTGCCCCTCTCTGGTCACCAGGCCCACTCCCTAGCTGGACAGTGAGAGCGTCTCCCAGGCCAGCGGTCTCAGGCAGCCTTGCATCAGCAGGAGGCCCCTGGAGTCCGTGTAGGAAAGATAGCAGGGTGGGCGTTTGGGGGCCCCCAGGCCTCACCTGGCCTGCTCTTCTTCCCCAAGCCCTCTGGCCACGTGCAAGGCCCGGGCAATCGCTGCAGCCCTCCCTGCCCGCACGCAGAGGCGGAGGCCATCGGGGCCCTGCAGGAGGCGGTCCTGGGCTGGACCAGAACCTGACGCTCCTCTCTTGCAGGCCTCCTGCTGCCCTGGCGCTGGCTGGCCGTGGCTGGGGAGGGACCTGTGTTCATCATGGTCCTGCTGCTCAGCTTCATGCCCAACTCCCCGCGCTTCCTGCTCTCCCGCGGCCGGGAGGAGGAGGCTCTGCGGGCGCTGACCTGGCTGCGCCACACGGCCGACACGCAGGACGTGCGCTGGGAGTTCGAGCAGATCCAGAACAACGTCCAGCGACAGGTGCGGCTGGCCAGGCTTGCCCCTCTGAGCTTGGTTGTTTTCCCTGGGGTGACACTAGAACTGAGCAGGGTTACCTTCACCGGCCGGCCCACAGCAGGGGGCAGGAGAGGCTGGTAGAGCTCCCTCAGCGGTGGCCTTGTGTTCCAGAGCAGCCGCGTGTCTTTGGCTGAGGTCCGGGACCCCCACATGTACCGGCCCATCCTGATCGCCCTGCTGATGCGCTTCCTGCAGCAGCTGACGGGCATCACGCCCATCCTGGTTTACCTGCAGCCCATCTTCGACAGCACAGCTGTGCTGCTGGTGAGCACCCACCTGGGCCCCTCGGGTTCACGTGCTGACCCCAGGCCTCGGTGCCCACCCGGGGCACTCAGACCCCAGCAGGTGCGCGGAAGCACACGTCTCCAAGCCATGCACCTGTCTCTAAAATAAACTGTACAGGATGACAAAGCAAACCAATTTAATAGAAATGTGGACCCCTTGGGCCCACAGCCCCAGGCTCAGAGCCCTGGGGGCTGTACCCCAGGACAGACTTCAGCCCCCTAGAGCCCCACTTCCTCCGCTGCTCACGGAGACAGCATAGGCCTGCCCTGTCCTCAGCCTAGTGTGAGCCAGGACAGGAGGACGGGAACAGCACAGCTGCCCGGGCCACCGTCACGTGGGTCTGCGCCTGTGCGGCGTGGGGTGGCGACAGCCGACGGCCCTGCCCGGAGAAGTGCTGGGCACGCAGGCCGTCCGAGAAGCTGCAGCTGTGGCTTCAGATCAGAGCGCCCCACAGTGCCCAGAGGGACAGGGTGGATGTGGGGGCGGGGACAGGAGCTGCAGGCGGGGTCTGCAGCCACAGCGGCCCCATCCCCGCAGCCTCCTGAGGATGACGCAGCCATCGTCGGGGCTGTGAGGCTCCTGTCCGTGCTGATCGCTGCCCTCACCATGGACCTGGCCGGCCGCAAGGTTCTGCTGTTTGTGTCAGGTGAGCAGCCCTACCATGTCCCACCTTGACAGTGCCAGCACGTGGGCCCGAGCAGGGTGCAGTCACCTCTGGCCCAGGCCTGCCACGGGCCAGCTCCTCCCGCAAGGTAGGGCTCGCAGGAGTGATGGAGCCGGCTGTGGCTCACGGGGTGATGCAGCCAGTGACAGGGCCCCAAGCCTGGCTGGAGGCCGAGCATGTGCCCTGAGTGGAGCCCCCTACCCCATCACGGGCCAGCCAAGGCCCGGGGCTTCCCGGCAGCTTGGGCTCAGGGGCCCTAACCCCAGGGGCCACTGTGTGTCCACAGCAACCATCATGTTCGCTGCCAACCTGACTCTGGGGCTGTATGTGCGCTTTGGCCCGAGGGCTCTGGCCCACAACGGCACTGTGGGCCTGGAGAACATGCCCTTGGGGGGCACGGAGCAGCCCCTGGCCACACCCACCAGCTACCTCACCCTGGTGCCTCTGCTGGCTACGATGTTCTTCATCATGGGTAGGCGGCCGGGCACACGGTGGTGGTGGTGGTGGGTGTTTCAGGAAGGGGCTGTCCTGGTCTCTGTGGGGAAGGTTGGACCCTCTATTACGTGGCAAGGCAGACAGGGTGTGTGTGTCCCCCACGGCCCCGCAGGCTACGCCATGGGCTGGGGGCCCATCACCTGGCTCCTCATGTCCGAGATCCTGCCCCTGCGCGCCCGCGGTGTGGCCTCAGGGCTCTGTGTGCTGGTCAGCTGGCTGACAGCCTTCGCTCTCACCAAGTCCTTCCTGCTTGTGGAGGTGAGTGCATACGCGGCTTGGGGACCCCGAGGTCCCGTCCTACCCGCCAGGGCCCCTGCTTGATGCCAGGATCCTTCTCTGATAAGTGATGGCATCTCCACAGTGTCCCTGGGGGACTGGTGTGTGCCCCTCACACAGAGGCAAGAGCGGTCAGGCAACAGGGTAGCTAAGACCCCTCAGGTATATGAAACAGCGATGAGCTGAGGAATGGTGCCACGACATCAGGCCGCCTCCCAGCCCAGGAAGACGCAGCAAGAGCCGCGCAGGGGCCCTGACCCCACCACACACACCGGCCCCTGCCTCCAGCAGCCCAAGCACAGGGACGCCTGGGCGCCACCTCGTGGCCCCGGGTAGGCAGAAGGCGCACTCTGGGGCTGTGTACGCGGCCGCTGGGTGCCCGCATGGAGCGAGGCAGGGCCAAGTACAGCTTCCAGGTAGCCAGTACCCCGCCCTGGGGAAGCAGTGGGGAGAGGGGAGGTCTCAGCAGGGCAGGGCGGGCTGCAGGCCCCACAGGCCGGCCGGTACCAGCTGGGCCCATGGAGCTCAGCCTGGGGGATGGGCGAGCTTCTCTGTGTAACCCTGCCCCCCACTGTGCACCCCCAGAACGCCTTCGGCCTGCAGGTGCCTTTCTTCTTCTTCGCGGCCATCTGTCTGGTGAGCCTGGTGTTCACGGGCTGCTGTGTGCCAGAGACCAAGGGCCGCTCGCTGGAGCAGATCGAGTCCTACTTCCGCACGGGGAGGAGGTCCTTCCTGCACTAGGTGGAGACCGCTGGGACACGCTCAGACGGCACCCCGCGACCAGGAGCTGGCAGCGGGCCCTGCTGCCCATGGTGCTGCATACCCATGCTGAGACCCACCAGGGAGGAGGGGGCATGGGCCACAGGGCACACACGGTACCCAGGGACAACACCCTGCTGGGTGACCTCAGGCCTGGCTCCTTGCTCACACACATGGGACTGCATCAAAGACCAAGAACAGGGCCAGAGATGGCAGAATGGCCCCATACAGGGACACGGTCTCGTCCTCCTGTTCTGATCACGTGGCCACCATCGGGCCTCTTGGACACCACCGGGAACACTACAAACTCCAGAGGCCAGGGCACAACCCATGAGGTCCCTCTGGCTCCAGCCCAACCTGGAGGGACAGAGGCTTCCATCTACAAACTGTTCACAGTATTTATCCAAATAAAGAAACTGGGCCTGCACCCGTAGGGTGGGAGGAGTGGGTTGTACTATACGGAGGAGCCCCCTCCCCAGCAGCCAGCCAGGTCAGCAGGGCCTACTGCCCCTCAGGCCTCCATGACCCCACTGGACTGTGCCCCAGAGAGGGGGTCGGGCCTGCCCAGCCCTGCCTCCCTGGCTGTGACATCCAGCAAGTCACTTTCCTGTGAACATGCTCAGTCAGAGCTGGCCACCGGGCTCTGCCCAGCAGTGTGGGGACAGGGCATCCCGGACACTCCTAGGGACACAGATGGCAGCAGGTAGAGTGCACATCCAAACGACAGCCTTGATTGGCTGTGCAGGGTGCAGACCCAGCTGGCTAAGGGAGGCGCAGGAAGTCGGCGCCCAGACACAGCTGCAGGCCAGCCGGCCTGGGTAACCACCCCGCAGGAGCTGCTCAGCAGCTGGGGTGAGGGATCAGCCCCACACTGGCCCAGCTCCCACCAAGCCTCTCCCCCTCCTGCTGCAGCCAGTGAGGTGTGCACAGAAGTGACCCCAGAGTCCCACACCTGGACAAGTGGACGGGGAGGGGCAGGCAGAGTCCGTGTTCCTCCCAGAAGCAGGATGGGCAATGGGACACCTCTCCCTCCACCCTGCCTCTCTGAGCCCCGTTGTGGCCTGAGGTGGGCGAACCCAGAGGAACCTGAAGGCACACGTCTGACCAAACTAGCCGCATCCTAATGCCCTGGCACCCAGGGGCTCAGCCTGGCGCCTGGAGGGTTGTGCTGACCGGAGCCTGCTGCTGAGTCCCCAGGCAGCGATGGCCCAGCCCCAAGCACCCGCACTCCCAAGCAGAGTGCCTACCACTCCGGCCCCAAATGCTGACAGGCCTCAGTGTTCTCCAGGAAATGGACCTGGGCACAGCCTGGGAACTGGTTTCCAGGGAGCGCGAGCCAGTCCCTGAGCTCTGAGAACGCAGAGCAGGCCCTGCTGGGGGTCTGGGGAGCGTGCGACCCCAGCACACACATGTGTGCACCACAGCCAAGGGCCAATCTAATCAGTAGCCAAGGCCGAAGTCCCGGGGCAGGAGGGAGTGATGGAGGAAATGAGGGTATGACAGGGCACCTCCAGCAGGGGGCCTGTTGAGGGGCTTCCCTGCCTCTGTCCTTTAGGCCTGAGCATCCAGCTTCCTGGACACGGGCTGGCACAGGGCAGCAGGCAGCCCTGTGGCGAGCGGCTGTCCAAGTCAGGAAGCTGCCCAGGCGGGCAAACCTGGGGTGGGTCGCCTCAGCCCTGGTGGTGGGGAGCAGCTGTTGCCAACAGGAGAGGGCAGGTCAGAACCTCTTGGGGGTTGGGGATACCTCCATGGGTGTCTCACCCCACTTCCTTAGCACCAAGCCCAAGGCAGAGTAGGGGGAGGCTTGTAAGAGGTAGGCGGCTGAGCGTCCAAGGTGCCAAGGCACTGGTGAGGGAGTGCTCCTCATGGCCGCCTAGAGGCCCAGCCTGGTCCCAGGCAGTGGTGACTCAGGACACTGCTCCACCCCTCTGCCCTGAGGACAGGCAAACAGGGCAGGCCTGGGACTCCACCTGCCCGGGGAGCTGAGTGCTTCCTCTGCTGGATGCTCAGGCCTAAAGGACAGGGGCAGGGAAGCCCCTCAACAGGCCCCAAGTGGACTCTGCAAGCCGCTCCCGGGCCATGGAGCTCGCAGCCCCACGCGGCCTGTTTGCTGAGCCAGACCAGCAGCACTGGGCCAGGTCCAGGTGGCCGTCTGTGCAGAGCTGTGACACTGAGTGCCAGCAGGGTCAGGACGTGTTCGGCTGGTCCGGGAACGGGGCAGGAAGGGAACCCGGGCACAGGGACAGGCACGGGGCCTCCTCTCCCAGGCCACAGCTCAGCCTCCTCCGGACAAGCTCCCCCAGAGCCAGGTGGCAGGCAGGGAGGGAGGGTGGTGGGAACCCACATCATAGCTCCCCCTCCACGGTCTCCGCCAGCTTCTCCTCATCCGCCTGCTGCTTCTGCTGCTGGATCCGGGCGTAGGAGATGGCGTCGCCCCTGGGGAGAGAATGGAGGGTGCCCCAGAATGGTGGGTGTCCCAAGGGCACAGCTCGGGTGCCTCCCAGTTCCCCAGGCTACAGCCCAGGCAGGCACTGCGGGCTGAGCCCACTGGGCCTTCCGGTTCCCTGGACAAAGGCCACTGCTACGGGCGCAAAGGCCCAGGCACCTCTGAGAGTGGCACGGCCTGCCAGGATGCTGGGGTCCGCAGGCTCCATCCCCAGCCCAGGCTCGGCAGGAACAGGCTGGGATGCCCGGGGCACATCCAGGATGTAAGACGGGGCCACCCAGAGAGCCGCTGACTTTTCCCACCTCCACCCTTCGAACACTGACCAGTCTCGGCACTGCCTGGGCCTGGGTCCATGCTGGGACCAGAGGGGCCACTCTCAGCATGTCCCCACCATGTCCGGAGACCCACAGCTCCCACCCCGTTGGACTGCAGACGCACTTCTTGCCCAGGGCAGAGAGTCCATACAGCACCCCGGTGGCAAAGGCGACAGCATTGCCCAGCAGCGTGGTCAGGGTCAGGCTCATGACGATGGGGATCACGGCCATCCTGGGGGCAGACAGAGGTCAAGGGCGCACTCCCACCCCACAACACCCCTGGGCTCCCCGTTCACCCAGCTCCTCCCCAGACAACTGGGGGGCAGGGAGAACCCCCAGAGATCAACCAGACAGGGTCACGGCCGGGCTTCACGGGGCCTTTGAATGCCCTGAACGTGACACAAACGCTTGCAGCAGAGTTTTGCAAGGTCTGTGGTCATGAGGACTTCAATGGTGACAAGAGGTCCTGCCCTCACTGCCCGTGAAAACAGACACTGCCCAGAGTTGGGGTCTGTCCCGGCCCAGGAGCCCTCAGCTTCTCCACGTGAAGTGGAGCAGAGCCTCAGAGAGATGGTGAGACGGAGGAGGCAAGGCGTGCCAGCTGCTTAACACGACGCCAGGCCATCACTAGCACCAAACAAATGCTCCTTGCTAGTATGGGAAAACCAGCCACCTCTGGACAACCAGGGCTCCCACTCCAGTCTGGAAGAACTCGGGCTCAGAGTTGCAGGGGCGCCACCTGGTGGTGGGGCCCACTTAGCTTAAAAGCTCTGCAGCGGATTCTTGACTTCGCACCTACCTACCAGAAGGGTCCACAGCTTCCCAGCCAGGATCCTGCACTCCTGTCTGTCTAGGGGACACGCATACAGGAGATCTCAGGTACCAAAACCACGTCAAGGTCCCAGCCTCAACTTCAGGGGGACTTAAAATCTTCATTTTTATTATTTTACTTTATGATGGTGTAAAAATTAGTAGAGGAATAGTAAAAATCACAAGGAAAGGCAAGGACCACAGCAGGAAGAAACTATCCGCCCACACAAAATTAAAGACAAACCATAGGCTGGAAAATATGGGCAGCAAATAACAAAGGAGTATGAAATGTTTAATGTAGAAAACACATATGGTCTGCTAGGCAAACACCAGGGCTCTAATTGATCAAAAAGTAAACCAGAAAACATTCGAGTAGGAAAATGCAATTAGAACACATGGGAAAATAGTTTACCCCTTACATAACAAATACAAATGTAAAACTGTTACCTAGCACAGGGCAACAGGGCAGAGGGATGCTAGGAAGGCCTCTCTGGGAAGCAACCAAATACATGTATTAAAATATTTTGGCTGGACATAGTGGCACACTCAGGAGGCTGAGGCAGGAGAATTGTTGCAAGCTTGAGACCAGACTGGGCTACAAATTGAGCTCAAGGCCAGCCTGAACTGCATAGGGAGACCCTGTCTCAAAAAGACAAAAAAAAAAAAAACTTTTTAATGATCATCACCTTTGACTTGCTAATTCCACACCCAGAAGTACAACCTAAGGAAATCATCAGGAATACACAAATTATACCAAAGAAATGTTGGTCATGGCTTGATTTATACCAGTTAACAAATTAAGAAAAGAATGAATAACTATCCCTACCATTAAAAATAATGTCAGCCAGGTGTGGTGGCACACACCTGTAATGCTAGCACTTGGGAGGCTGAGGCAGGAGGATCACTGAGAGTTCAGTGCCAACCTGGACTACACAGTGAGTCCAGGCCAGCCTGAATCACACAGGGAAACCCTGTCTCAAAAAAATTATAATAATAATTTCATAAAGTTTTTGGGGGTGATATAAAAATGTTTTTATCATTATGTTAAATGAAGAAAAGCAGGTACAAAATTGTTGATACGGCCAGGGATATAGCTCAGTGGCACAAGCACCTCCCTGGCAAGTGCAAGGTCCTGAGTTTGATTCCCGGTACCAAAAAAAAAAAAAGTTGTTAATAATGGTTATAACTGTGTTAAAAACAAAGTTAAGAAATGTCTGAATTCAGACAGGCAGGCACAGACCTGAAGGTGATGGGGCTCTGAGTAATACTTTTCTATTTTACAAACTGATTGAATGGATTTTTGAAAATGTATACTTAAAAACCCAAAGGTATGAGGAGGCCCACTGGTAAGTACCCTGGGTCTAGGATTCTTAAAGATGTAAACACAGAGGAAACTGCTGCAGACCCAGCCCCTGCAGCTAGCCTCCAGCAGCCGCAGCATCTGTCTGAATCTATGTTTGTTTGTTCGTTTGTTTTAATCCTTGAATTAAACTGGGGATTGAGCCCAGGGCCTTCACACTGAACAATATCCCCAGACCTTTTATTTTTTATTTTGAGACAGAGTCTTGCTAAATTGCTATGCTGCCAGGGCTCTAACTTGCAATCCTCCTGCCTCAGCCTCCCAGTATGATGGGATTACAGGCCTGCTCCACCACTCCTGGCAGAATCTATCTTAAAGATAACTAGGTAACATTAATAAATATTGCTGCTCAGCCAGCCTCCTGTGCACGGGCCCTGGCCCAGGAGTATATTAAATTTGTCCTGGAAGTAGTTCAGGGCCCTGACTCCAAGGTGAAGTGCCACACAGTGAACTTGTCACAAATAGGAAAATAAAAGCAAAGCCTATTAAGAGAGCAGTAGCCGGGTGTGATGGCGCACACCTGTAATCCCAGCACTTGGGAGGCTGAGGCAGGAGGATCACTGCAAGTTCGAGACCAGCCTGGGCTACAAAGTGAGTTCAAGGCCAGTCTGAACTGCATAGTGAGACCGTGTCTCAAAAAGAAAAAGGAAAAAAAAAAAAGAGAGAGCAGTGATGTTTTCTGCTCTTCAACCTGTGTGACTCCTTAGTGTCAGGACACCAAGGCAGACCTCCTGGCTTTACGAGGCTGCCCAGGAGTGCACCACACAACAGTCCACTCAACACTGCCCAGCCAAGGCCTGACCCCTTCCAGTCCGCCGCACACAATGCTTGTCCCTCGTGCACCTGAACTCGTGGGTGGCTGCAGCTGCAGGCCACGTGCCCAGGAGGGCCGCATCTTCAGCAGCTGTCATCCCTCAGGTCTCTGCCCACAGCTGCCAAGCCTGGCCCTCTGCTGCCCGCCCTGCCAGCACCTGGCCACCTGGTCCCAGCCCCGCCCAGGGCCCCTCACCCGCAATAGAAGACAGCCTTCTGCCAGGAGCGCAGCCGGTCCACCCTCTCGGCCACCGTGTTTGCAAACTCCACGAACTGGCAGCAGAAGGGCGCCTCGCAAAGCAACAGGATGAAGGCATTCATGCTGCAGAATACCGGCAGGAGAGAGGGTGGCAGTGACGGAGGGGCAGCCTTGGTGCCACAGGAATGCCACCTCCCCACCCTGGTCATGCCAGGACACCCATGCCTGCCCTCAGAGTCCCTGGTGGGCACCTCAGCCCCACCCCTACCTGCACCGAGCACTCCTGGGGAAGAGCCAGGGCATCTGGTCTCTTTACCCTTCGCATCTGTGGCATGGAGGGCAGGCCCCTAGCCAAGGGGACAGCAAGTGGGAGCACTTGGCTGCCCTGCAGCTGTTAGTGCCGCAGCCATGGTTGCCAATATTACCACCTCAGGAAAGGCCACAACCCAGGAGAGCAGAGACTGGCCGGTCAGCACCCACAGCCACTGCTGGCTGGCCCACACCCAATGCCACGAGGACTTGCGGGCTGGGCACATGCAAGGCATGGGAAGCCCATGTGGGAGAGCTCCTTCGTGTCAGAAGGAGCCTGGCTTTGTGAGGCTGCCCAGGAGTGCACCACACAAGAGTCTGCTCAACACCGCCCAGCCAAGGTGAGGGACAGAAAGGCGCTCAGAAGTCCTGCATCCCAGTCCCTGTCGCTGAGCAGACCAGCCAGTGACACTGACAGCACCTGCCTGGTCTGATGGGCAGGAGACACTTACCAACCTTGAGCCCTCGCCCCAGCCAAGCGGGAGGAAAGTGTCACTGATACTATTGAACAGATGCAGGCTCAGGATGTCCCACCTGTCCCCAACACTGCTCACCGACCTGAAGGCCACATAGCCCTCCCCAGTGTGCACCCCAGCTCCACCCGGGCTTCCCCGAGCCAGGCCTTCCACCAGGGCCAGAGCTTCTGGAGCCTTAACTGTGAACCCAGTGAGTGCCTGGGCGGCATTCCCTGCCCCAACCCCTCGCCAGGGACCTGAACATGGTGAGTGCAGGAAGGAGGAGACCTGCATTGTAGCCAGAAAACCACAGCCTCACACCCCAGTGGGGCAGGGCAGTCCCAGCTACTCACATCATCCACACGCCGGCCGCAATGTTCAGAGGGTGGATGGTTATACAGCTGAAGAGGCCGGAGACAGCACAGGCTGGAAAGTGGAGACACGGCAGGCGTGAGCAGGGGAGCTTCCCGTGGCAGCTGGACACCCGCTTCTGTCATCTGATGTGCCATTAGGCTGCAGCTTGGACAGGGGAAGGGCCAGCCCCAGCCCACAGCGAGGCAGCAGCAGGGCCACCTCTGGACCTTAGCACTGGGCTTCAGAGTGGCCGCCTGTGACCCTGGCTGTCTCCACACCCACCCCACCCCACAGGCTGGTGAGGATTAAAGGGTGGGGCTGGTGCTCCACCTAGATTGGTTCCTCAGTCCGGCCGCCTGTCGCTACACCCAGGGCTGGCCACACAGAAGTCGTCTGACCTGGGAAGGGTAGACCGGATTTGGGTTGGGATAAAAGGTGCCTCTCATGCAGATGGGGACCAGGAAAGATTCGAGTGGCACAGTTCCCTTTGACCTTCCAGCCAGTTTTCTCTTCCTGCCCTGCAGGCCACAGACCCACTGCTGGGACACCAAGGGGCCAGGACAGGCACCCAACCAAAGCTTCTCCATGCTCCGAAGGCGGAACCTGGCTGTCCTCCCTCCTGTACCCCCTTATTACCCACCCATAGCTGCCAACAGGCTTCCCCAGGACCTTGGGAGCTGGCTGCTGGGCAGGAAGCAGGTCTAGGCTGTTGCCAGGGCAGGTAGGGCTCTTGCCTTTGGAGGCAGCAATTAGCACTGGGTCATTAAACTTGCAGCAGCTCCCCTGCACCTGATCCTCCACTGGGGCCTGGAATTCTGCTGTTTTCCATTTTCCTGTGTAACCCTATGCAGGCGGCAGGCCATGGAGACCAGGTGAGGTGCTCCGGCCCGAGAAGGGCTGTCCTCCGAGCCCACAGACTCTTACACCGCGGGGCTCCAGGCTGGCACAAGTCCTGGGCATCCTTAGTAACACCGGCCCCAGGCAGCAAGGCTCCCAGGTACTGGGACAGGAGCCTTCGGCCTGCGTGTGGTAGGGCCCAGTCCCACCTCCGGACCTCGGAGCCAGCGTTTTGCCTGCAGCCGGGCCCTATCCACTGTCCTCCCCAGCCAGCCCTGGGTCTCCGGGTCTCCACCCAGGCCAGCAGGCTCCTGCCAGGAGCCCTTCAGGACAAAGGGCTGGAGGATGCTCGTTGCTACTGCGTCCAGTTGCTCCGGGGCCAGGGTAAATGCCTCTCGCTGGGTGGACCCTCATGGCAGGGCAGGGCAACCCTATGAGGCTGGTGAGGATTAAAGGTTGGGGCTGGTGCTCCACCTAGATTGGTTCCTCAGTCCTGCCCCAAGAGGCTGGCAAGTGCCTGGCCCTTGTGGGAATACCCGCACAGGCTGAAAGCACCAGGCCTCTGCTCCACCAGGCGTGCCGCCCGCTCCTGGCATAGCGGCACGGCTGGGCAGTGCCCTGGGCTCCTCAAGCCTCCCTGTGCCCGCGGCGCAGCACCTGGGCTTTGAGTAGCACAGCACCGCACAGGAGTCCGCTGGGCCACTCACCACGACCCAGGGAGGCCACAGCCTCGGACCACGGTCAGAACCTCGGCTCCCTCCACCCCTGACCACGGTGCCCTCAGCACCGCCCACGAGGGTCAGCCGGGAAGCAGCTAAGTACCTCCCAGAGGACTCGGTCTGACTTCCCCGCTCCCGAGTCAAGAACCTGCCTCGGGGAGGGGCCAGGGGCTGCGGCAGTGCCCGCCTCGACTGCCCCGAACGCGGCTCCTTCTGCTGGGCGGACGGTCCGCCCCGTCCAGCGCCAGCCCTGCGCCGGGAGCACGGGGACGCTCGGCAACCTCCCCTTCCCACGCCGCCGCCGCCCCCGGGCTGCAGGGACTGGCGTGGGGGGCGCAAGGGAGAGGGACTCTCTCGGCCTGGGTCCCCACGAACTCTGGAGAGAAGGGGTGCCCAGGAGCGCGGCCGGCACAGACAGCCCGGGCGGGCCCCCCGCCACCGCGGCCGGCCCGCGGCGAACTCCCCGCAGGGGCCGCACCGCTCCCCGCCGTGCACAGCTCGCGAGAGGTGAGGAGGCGCCGGCCCGTGCCAGCCCCGGGACCGCGCCCCGGGCGCCCCAAGACCCCGGCGCGAGCCGGTCCCCCGCGGGTACTCACAGACGGCCCCCAGCACGCCCGACAGGCGGCACAGCCAGCGGTACCACCACGTCATGCCCTCCTCCTGCGCGGGCGGCGCAGGGCCCGCGGGGGCCCCCGCCCCGCCGGAGCCGCTCATAGTGCCCGGGCGCAGCCCCCAGCCCGCACAAAGAGCCGCGTCCGCCCCGCGCGCTGCCTTGTGGGAGAGGAGATATTAGCATAGAGGGCGGGGCTCGCAGGCCTCGAAGGCAACCGGTAGGACTGTAGGCTTATTAGTGTAGGGGGCGGGGCTCTCAGGTCAGACTGAGCAGCGCCCGTGGGCGGGGCCTTTAGGAGAGGCAGCCCAGGGGTTGGAGGCTGGTAGATTAGCATAAGGGGCGGGGCTGGTGGCCACCTAGTGGAGAAGGGACTGGGCTTATTAGCATAGGGGCGGGATTAGCATGGGGCGGGGCTTCGCGGACAGCCGGCAGGTGCAGGACAGGTGCCAAGTGCGTAGGCCTCAGGGCCCAATCTGGACTCCTGGATAGGAAGAGCACAACTAGAGATGACCAGGGGTAAGGGCTAGGGATTTAGCTCAGCGGCACAGCGCCTGCCTAGCAAGTGTGAGGTCATGAGTTCGATTCCCGGTACCGGGGGAAAAAAAAAGACCGAAAAAATAAAATGCAAAGACCAATGCGAATGGCCAAAATATTAGAGCCGGGCATGGTGGCGCACGCCTGTAATCCCAGCACTCGGGAGGCTGAGGCAGGAGGATCGTTGCAAGTTCGAGGCCATCCTGGGCTATAAAGTGAGCTCAAGGTCAGCCTGAACTGCATAGAGACCCTGTCTCAAAAAGACAAAAAAAAAAAAAAGAGAGAGAGAGAGATGGCCAGGATAATCCGATTACACCCAGGGAAACCCTGCCCTGAGGCAGGGCCCGTGTCAAGCCAGGCTTGGACAGTTCACCTGAAGAAAGGCCGGTCAGGCCTCCTGTTTCCTTTATTGGTACCTGAGAGGCTGGAGCGCTCTCCTCAGCCCTCCACCTCCCACCCCTAGGTTTCTGCACACTGGAGAGGACTCTCAAGGAGAATCCCTGAGACCTGCATAAGTCGGAGCTGGAACGCACTTCCAGGCTTGACAGGACACCTGATGGGCTCAGGAAGTGTCAGGCGCCCTCCCTTCCCTTCTGCTGCTTGGAGAGACCCCTAAGACAGGGTCTCCCTCCAGCACCCTCGAGGGGAGGGTCCAGTAGTGGCCTCGAAGGCGAGCATGCCCCTCCAGGAAGTCCTTGCTGATCTCCACCTCCGCCTCGCTGCCCTCTGACTCCCAGTAGAGGGCCTGCTGCCCATGGAGGGTTGTGGTCCTCGTGCTGTGGGCGTCCCGGATCTGGGAGGAAAAGAGAAAACAGTCAGGATGATGGGAGTCCTCAGCAGAGAGCGCCCTAGCAGGGACACAGAGGCCCGGGGAAGCTGTGCGTGTCCCCAGACACAGCTGGGCTGGCCTACTTCCTTCCGGCAGGAAGCACAGTACACGTCCGTGGAGTAAGTAGGGGAAATTCTCCTTCCCCTTCAGCAATGTTTCTGAGATCTAAGGTCTGAAGTAAACTGAAGAGGTGCCCTGAGCCCAGTCCCCCATCTCGTCTCCAGGGCCAGCGGCCCAGAATCCTAGTAAATCAGCCCATTTCTGTCCTGCTCCTGGCGTCCTCACTGAGATGGAGCTGCCATTGGCCCCAGCGCCCACGCCGTTGGCCAGGACGTGGATGGCGATGCGGGCCTGCGGAGCCACGCTGATGAAGATCCTGCAGCCGCCTGCGGTCCTCCCGTCTGGACTCAGTAGGGGGCGCACAATCTCACCCCGGGGTCCGAAGAGCTGCGTGTCGCATTCTGCAGGGGAGAGCAGGTGGTAGACCAGGCGTGGGCCATCTCGGGGACACAGGAGCCCAGACAGACTGGGGACACCAGGGCAGCTCACAGCCAGGGACCATGAGGGGACACGGTTGACCAAAAGTCATGTTCGAGGGCTCCCAGGTACAGCCCCTTGGATGCCTGCTCCCACCGCATCCTAGCTGAGCGACTTTAGACAAAGATCTGAAATGCTCCAAGGGTCCGTCCCTGTCTCCGTACAGTGAAGGGAACAGGGCACACACCGGGAAGGGGAGCTTTTAGGGGGCTTGGGAAGTTACGGTGCGGAAGTACTTTACAGTGAACCCAGCACAAAGGTCGGCCTCTGCAGTGGCAGCTGTGAGTGCTAGGAGCCCTCTCGCCACCCCGCATGTGCCCCTCAGCCTCCCCCCAGCCTGTGTGTGGTGAGGCCAGGAAACCAGAAGCAGTGGGAGCAGGGCCTGCAGCGCAGCTCCCTGCTGAGGGGCAGGTGGTGCCGGGGCAGGGGGTGGAGCAGTGAACTTCTGCAGCGGCCAGCCCCCCCTGCACCACTTTCCCATGAGACCTGAGGGATCTGAAACCTCTGCAGCTGGCTGGCAAAGCTGACTTTGGCCCCCCTGGGTTGCTGGGAGGTAGTAAGGCCCAGGGGCCACCAAAGGCTCCCCAAGATGCCATCCTCTGTCTGAGGGGGGTGTGGCAGCGGGTGCCTGTGCGTGGTGGGCCCAGCCATGCACATGGACACCAGGGCGTGGGGTAAGAGGTCCGGGGGAAAGTGGGTCACAGAAGAATGCTAAAGGCCCTTGAAGGACCTGAGCCTGCAGGTCAAGGGCAGAAGACAGTGGCCTGAGGGGTAGGGAAGGATGTGGACCACGTCTCACACCACCCCTCTGGCTGCAGGGCCCAGACAGGAAGGACCACAGCTTCATCCCAGAAACTCATCCTAACTGCACGCCTAGGCCAGCGTGGCCAGCTCCCAGCCTGTCTTGCCTGGTCATCCCACTGGGAAGCAATACCTCCGTGGAAGGCTTCCGGGGCAGGCTGGCTCTCATACCGCAGCACCACTCCGCCCTCGGGCCGCAGGCAGTGCTGTCTCACCACCAGGGTGTTGGTCTTGGAGCCAAAAGTCTTTCCTGCCAGGTTCCTGCACACCTTCCTCCAGGTGAGCCGGCCCCAGAGCAGCAACGACTCCCCTACAAAGAGGCAGGGTTTGGGTTCAGGTCCCACCTGGGGTAGTATGGTAGCTCAGCCTTATAAGATAGAGGCATATTAGGCCGGGCGTGGTGGCGCATGCCTGGAATCCCAGCACTCGGGAGGCTGAGGCGGGAGGATCACTGTGAATTTGAGACCAGCCTGGGCTACAAAGTGAGCTCAAGGCCAACCTGAACTGCACAGCGAGACTCTGTCTCAGAAAGACAAAAAAAAAAAAAAAAAAAAAAAAAAAGAGGCAGGGTGTGAGGCCCCAGTGTCCCCATCCCAATTGGCTCCAGTGGCTCTGGGGTACGCTGAGCTGAAACCCAATTCCAGCTCCCCTCTCACTGGCTATGGGACTGTAAGTAGCGGGTGTATTAGGAAACTTCCCCTAGCCTCAAATTCCTTGGCTGTAAAGCAGGGACAGTCACAGGTGCTGTGACAATGAGTAGGAATGCACGGCGAGTGTCCTATAGGAACCAGGCACCCTGGAGTGGCGCTGGCACCTGGTGGCCCTGTAACTGGCAGCAGTGGCCCTAGATGTACCTGCGCTGCAGTTGAGGGAACTCTCGAGGACCTGGAGCACCACCACCTCCCCCAGGGGCCTCCCAATGGCCACCACACAGTCCGCCTGGCCGGAGCCTCTCATGTTGATAGTTCCCGTGGGCTCCAGGTGCTGCCTGCCACAGGTACCTGCAAAGGGAGCAGAGGAGTGGGGTGAGCAGAGCTGTGGGGTCCCCATTAGAGCAGAGCAGGGCTTTCCCTGCTGCGCAAGGAGGCTGGGGTGGGGTACCCCCATGGGAGCCTCCGTGGGTCTGGGAGGGGGCTGCTTGGGTCAGTTTCATCCTCCGAGGGACAGAGCGGCTTCCAGGTGCTCCTGACAGAGGGAAGCCCTGGGCTCCTCACAGGTGCCTTTGCCTCCCCGCTGCCGCCAGCCTCCCAAAGGAAAGAGCCAAGGAACCTAACTGGACTCTGCTGGGCTGTCCTGGGGCCCCGGAGGCTGAGACACTGGGGCGGTGAGGCGGGCCCTGGCTGGAGTCAGGGGCCACGCCAGAGCGGCACCAGCAGCGGCAGCCATGGTCGGGCCTGAAGTGGTGGTATCCTTCTGGGGCATCAGGCTGGGGGCCCCCTGCCCCATACAGGGCCCGGCCCAGCACCCTTGCACCGTTGCTGGCTTGGGCAAGTGCTGGCAGAAGCTGGGTGGCAGAGGTGCCTGGCCCTGGGGTCCAAGGCAGGTGCCATGCCGGCGCTGGATGCCGTCCCCACAGGAGACAGAGCACTGCAGGGAGAGGGAAGGAGTCACAAGTGACCCTGCAACAGGATGACGGGGACAGCGGTGGCCACAGGCCAGGTAGGCTCAGATGTCAACCTGGCAGATGGGCAGGTGTCTCCGTTATACAGCTCAAGACATTGAGGCTCAGAAAGGCTCCCTCCACGGCTGCCAGGAGGCCAGCTCGACAGCCTGGGGCCCCTCCTCTCAGGGGCCACAGTGCCCGCCATCCCCAGGGCATCTCAACCCCTCATCCCCAGGGCAAGTCCAGTGCTGGTAGCTGCTCCTACCTCCATCCAGGGGCTGACGTGCCACCGGTAGGCGCAGTCAGCGACGAAACAGGGCACACTGGCCTGTGGCCGCACCAAAGCCACACAGGATGCCTCGTCTACCTCGGCGTCCCGGCCCCGGTCCAGCTGCACACAGGCCACCACGCGTGTCGCAGTGCCAAGGCCACAGCTGGCTGAGCATGGGCCAAGGGACAGGACTTTCCACCTGCCGGGACAGAAGACCAATGCGGGCTCCAGCCTTGCTCCTCCGGCCGTCACTGGACAGGTTTCCAATCAGGTGAGGGGAAACCCAGCCAAACCTCCCGCCAGTCTCAGGCCCCCTAACAAGAAACAGTTCTCAAGGCGCCCTCTGGTGGTGGCTCTGTCACCCATCCTTGCTGGGGCCACTCCCCCACCTGCACAGCTGGCGCCGCCCCCCCGCCCCCCCAGCTCTCACAGATGCCCCCGCAGGACACTGTTGCCTTCATGGCACTGGGACCTCACCTCCCAAGCCCAGCGCAGCCTGCCAGGCAGTCCTGTGTGCTGTGCACTCTCTGTAACCCCCAGGCATTGGCCAGGTGTCACCATGCACCAGACGCCCCTAGGCTGCAGGCCTCCTAGAGCTCTGGGCCAGGCAGCTCCTGGCACTGGCCATTTGGTAGGGTCTCCTCATTATCACCCTCCCCGTGGGCCCGGACATAATACGGGATTTTCTGCGCAACCCTCCCCCATGGCTCACACCACAGGCCTCCAGCTTGGACTGCCGGCCAGGACAAACGGACTCAGTAGGCCCAAGATCTCCATGGCGGGGACCCAGTGAGCCAGGTCTCCCCTGATCCCTCCAGACCAGGGAGATAGAAGGCTGGGAAGAACCTAGAGAAGTCCCTCCCTGGGCCCCGCTTTGGTCCCCCAGCGGCTCAGCCCAGGGGACAGAGCACTCAGAACAACCCACTTTGTGGAGAGGGAAGCAGGGGGCAGTGTCAGGTGGCATATGCCTGTCTGTGGCAGTGGGGGCAGAGTCGGCAGAAAGGGGACCCCGCAAAAGTGTCTGGCACCGGGGATCCCATAGTTCTGCTATGCTGCATCAAGCTGTCACACCGTCTGTCCTGGTCACTGCCCAGCACCCCTTCCCCTTCGGCTCCAGGGGGGCAGGCACATTCGCCCTTCTTGTTCCCTGCTGCGTCCCCTGGCTCCAGAGCAGCACTTGGGTGTAGCAGATGCTCATGAAGAGTGGGAAGGAGGACACGGGCCATCAACACAGGCACCCACAGCACCTGGGCCCTTCGTGGGCTCGGCACACAGGGTGGCCTCCTTAGGCCCCACAGCCCACTGGGGCAGCAGGATGACGGCTCCTGCAGCCCACATGCTGAGGCTCAGAAGGGGCCAGCAGAGCTGGGGTGCAAGCTAGGGCTGCCTGCCCCTGGATGAGGGCTCGCCTGGGCGTGGGCTTACCTGGCCGGGCAGGGCTCTGGGCTGCAGTCCTGGAAGGGGCTGGGCTGTGGGGCGGGCCAGCATTCGGAGTGAGGCAGAGGGACAGGGCGGTTGTGCTCCACTCTCACGCAGCGTATGGCCAGGGGCACCCGCCCCCCACCGCAGGTTGCTGGACACGGTGCCAGGGCCCGGGCCTCCCACCTGCATGAGAAAAGCCAGAGCTCTCCAGGAGACCACCCCGGGTCAGGTTCCTTCCCCTTCCCCTGCAGTCTCCCTGCCCTACTCACTGAGGGGGACATGGGCCAGCCTGGCACACCTCCCACCGGCTCCCAGGCCTGCTGGCCAAGTCACACAGTGTCTCCTGGACAGGCGTCTGGAGGACAGAGTCCATGCACAGGAAGCTCAGCTCCATCAGTCCTGCAGGGAGGAAGCAGGGGCCCCTCACCCTGAGAGGTGGCTCAGCAGGACCACAGCACATGGCTCCCTGGACAGCTCTAGTGGACAAGGCCCATGGGGCCCGAGACCTGGCTCTGCTGCTTACTGGCTGTGTGACCTTGGGTAAGTGACTTAATCTCTCTGAGCTTTGGCTTTTTTGTATTACACTATCTACTTGCAGAGTCATTTAAAAAGATTTAAAAGTGACGAAGTGCCTGGCACACAGTAGGTGTTCCTCAAATGGAAGTGACTGTTGGGTATGGAGAGACATGGTGAGAATTGCTAGGAGAAAGTCTCTTCTTAGGGCTGGTTTCCTCCATCACCCCTTTAGGACAAGTCAGTCTGATCTGAGCTCGAGACTTGCTGAGGTGGGATGACCACTGCTCAGGGCGTTCGGACTCTGCACCCCCACATCATCCAAGATGGCCACTATGGAACTGAAGGTTTGAAAACCTCAGCAATGACAAATGTGGAGTGAGGACACGGAGAAACCTGAACCCGTGCCCCATTGGTCAGGATGTAACATTCTAGTGTGCGAAGAAGTAGAGGTTTCTTCCAACAGTTACACGCGGAATGACCGCGTGATCAAGCAGACCCCCCACTTCCGGGAGAGGCCCAAAGGGAGCGACAGCAGGGACTCTGGGAAGGATGCGCAGCCTGTGTGGGAAATGGCATTATCACACAAGGAGAGTCGCACATCCATCCGCGGGAGGACGGAGAGACAAAGCCCCGGCCGTGCCTCCCAGGACGCTCCTCGGCCCTAAGAGAGAAGACAGTCCTGACAACTGCCACAAGGGCGTGCTCAGAGGACGCCACAGTCACAAAGCACGCCCCCTGTGGGACTCCACCAATCTGAGGGCCTCAGAGGAGCCAGAGCCACAGAGACAGGCAGTCGAACGCAGGTCGCCAGGGGCTACGGACAGGAACAGGAAGTTGGTGTTTAATGGGGACAGGGGGTTAGTTTGCAATGGCAGGAGATTTCCGGGGGTGAAGGGTGGCAGAGACGGCTGCAGGACAATGTAATGCGCTTGGTGCTGATGAGCAGAACACTTAGGATGGTGAGTTTATGTGTCTTCTACCACGATCAGAAATGAACACAACAGACACTACGTAACTTTGCTTCTCTGCTTGGTGGCCAGTTTGGACCATCTCTTGCACCTCTACCAGCTATGAGGGACACTGGTTCGTGCCAGTCTCGCTGGCTGTTCGTGTCTCTCCCAAACCTTCACCCTCTCAGTGAACACGGAGAGCAGCTGGGACACCCGGCTGCAGTCCCCTTGGCTATGCCCTGTCTCCATGTGGCTTCGGTTTTCTGGAGCCACTGTAAATGCCTGCTGGATCTAAGGCAGAATGCAGGCAGGTAAGAGAGCTGAGGACCATGCTGGCATTGGGAGCATCCCTGGGACCCTCACCTTGCCCACAGGAGACGGAGCACAGCCCGGGCACAGGTGTCCACACGTGTGCAGCAGGAGCCTCCTCCTCTGGAGCTGTGGGATGCAGCTGTTGGGCAGACAGTGGGTCTGGGTCTCCTGCCTGTGCCCAGCACTGGGCTTTCCCCCCACCCCCGGCCTTCTCAGGAGACACAGGAGAGCACACGGGGCCCACTCTGCCGCTCCTGGGGAGACCTGCCTCCCATCCCACCCTCGCCACCACCACGCCCGCACATGCGCCCACCTTGGCCTCTGCAGGCTTCTTGGCAGTAGCAGTGTCCTCTGTGGAGTTGGCCGAGGGCTGGGGAGCACGAGAAGGTTCGTGAGCACACCTGGCCTGCAGCCCCATGGGCTATGAGGGACCAGGGCTGTTTGGCTGCTGGCCCGAACGCAAGGCCCTCAGCCTCAGGAACTTGGATGCCAGCTGGAGCGGGTAGCAGGCCACTGTCCCTCCAATCTGGCTGCCTCTTCCAGAGGCTCTCAGTTTACCCTGTGACCCCAGAGCACCTGCGGCAGACAGTGCTCCCGCTCTGGCCTGCAGGACAGTGGTCTCCGCATCCTCCCAGCCAAGTAGGACCCAGAAGCCCCGGCCACCCTCTGCCCAGGCCTCTCACCTGAGCCCAGACTGGAGGACACGCCATCCCGACACAGGGCTTGCCAGCAGGTGGCATCTTGTGGGTGGTGCAGGGCCCTACAGTTGCTGAGGAGCCCAGGCCATCCGCCTCCTGCACGCACGTCATGTTGGGGGAGGCTGGGCGGGCTCCACAGCCCGCCGCTGTGCACAGGTCAGGCTCTGACACCTCCTGCCTGAGGACAGCACAGGGCCTCATCAGCCTGCCCTTGTGCCTGACTGCAAAGCAGCTTGGCCAGGGACGGCCTCCCCGGATCTAGGAGCCAAGCTCAGGGACTTTCTGAAGTGTTTTCTGGGTCAGCTGACTGCTCCACCGACCAGTGCCTCTGGGGTTCCTGACCGGCAAAGCCTGCTGCGGCACTAGGGGCCGGGGTGCAGGGAGCAGCCTATTGTTCCTGCCTTCCTCCCCAAGCCTGGGGCAGACCCCCGACCAAAGGATAATGACAAAGGGAACGGGCCAGAGGAAACGCAGCTCCAGGCTCAAGGGAGCCAATGGGCTCAGGCTGGAGGGAGAAGCAGCAGCCATGTGGGCACTGACAGCAGACGCCAGGGACAAGGAAGGGAGGTTTGCGCCTCTATGAGCAGGAGCCTCGGCCCCATTTTGAGGCAGGGTCTGGAAGTTCACAGCCTCCTGGCAGCGGAGGTTTCCCAAGCTGCACCACTGCCAGACACTATCATGGAGCTCTGCTAGCCGCCTGGAGGTGAGAGGACCCCAGAGCACAACCCTACAGGGAGGTCCCCTGACGCTCCACTGTTGCCTGCCCGGGCACGGCTGGCCGTTGCAGGCCTCCATGGTGGCTGGCTGCTGGGCCAGCGCTCTGTACCGGGTCAGGGGCAGCATCCTCGGAAGGCTACCTGGGCCTCCACACAGCACACGGGCTAGCCCGCAGGCCTCCCTCACAGGAAGCACTGCACAGACCGAAGTCTGCAGCTGAGCAGAGAGGGTGAGTGTCGGCCCGGGACCGGGCCCCAGGGTGCCAGGAGGAAGACAGAAGGCAGCAGAGCGATGTGCTCCCCCTGGCCTGACCGAGCCGTCCCGGACGCCCTTCCCAGAGGGCTGGCCTTGTAGCTGCCCGGCACACACCCAGCCCGAGGACAGGTGTACAACAGCGAGTGCTGCCCCATCAGGGACGGCCCTGTCCCTAGCAGTGTATGGCTGCTAACCATCCCCCCAAGGTGGGTGCAGGTCTGTGCTGGCCCCAGGACCCCAAACCTCCCCTCCAACCTCCTAGGGCCTTGCTGCCCAGCTAAGGTGGCAGTAGGTATTGTCACCGTGGGCAGACGCTGTCACCAGCAAAATGGGGACACCAGTGGAGCCCATGCCCAGGCTGACTTCAGCACTAAACAAGGGCACACACAGAGCCGCCCTGCACAGGCCACATGGGTCCCTGAGCCCAGCACTTACCGCGGAGGACAGGTTGCGGGGACACAGGGCTCTGGCCAGGCAGGGGGTTTGGGGCTCCCTTGACACAAGCTGGCCTCCACCCACATGTTCTGGGCCTGGTCCAGGCAGCGGTAGGACACCCAGCGCAGTCCTGTAAGGGCAGAGGCAGGGCTCGGCCACCTCCGAGCAAGGGCCAGCGGGGGCTTCGGGCACCCCTGCCCTGGGCCTCACCTGCCCCACAGCTCACCGAGCAGGGCCCGCGCTCCTCGGCCCACGCCCATGCTGCCTGCTGCTTGGGCTGGAAGTAGGTGAAGGTGATGTCCGGGCGGGTGAGGTCTCCGTACTCCTCGCCGTACCGCCTGTACACCTGCACGGGGCAGACCCTGTTCTGGGGCACCCTGAGCCGCTGCCACGGCCCCCAGCCCCCAGGAGCCTCGGCACGTTTCATTCCTCAGCCCCACATGGCCAGGCTCTGCAGACAGCATAGCAGACGGCGCGTCTGAGCTCAGGGGCCCAGGCAGTGCTTCCCAAGGACCAGGTCTAGGGGAGCATGGAGCACGGTCCCCAGACTTTCTGGGTGGGGACAGACTACAGTGGAGCCTCCATCAGGGGTGCCCCAGGCCAGCATCCAGGTGAGTCCAGTGCCCCATGAATGTCTACAACGAGAGCTCGGCCAGGGGCAGCAGGAAGGGACAGGATCCCAGGGGCCTTGTGGTCACCTGGTGGCCTGGTTGGACCCTCAAAACTGGATAGGGGTTCAGCAGGGCATCTGGGCCCATTTGCACTTGCAGAGTGGACTGGGCCCAAGAGAGGAGCCCGCCTGGAGGCAGAGCCCAGCACACAGCGCCATGAGCCCCTGCTGCCTCCGCCTACACCTGGCCGCCCCATAGAAAACATGGGGGTTCCGGGGCCCCAGAAGTCCTGCTCCACAGCACTGACAGAGCATGGTGCCTAGATGCTGGAGGAGCTGCTTGACAGCAAGCAATAGGGGTCAGCATTTCCGGGCAGCAGCAGAGCAGGAGGGGGACCGCCACGCCAGGGCTGGCCCGGCCGGAACCTCAGCGTTCTCCAGGCATCCTCGGGGATACACTGACTTTGGGCCTGGCCAAGCACACATGGGGAACACACAGGAGCGCACGTCAGGAAAGACAGCCACACCAAGCCTTCCTGGGTGCCCATGAGCCTTGGCCAAAGAGAGGCAGGAGGAGTCAACGTCCACCCTAAGCTTCCTCTGCACCACAGCCTGCGTGCCCAGCTGGCCCTTCCCCCTGCCTTCTCCTAGGAGCCGGTCCCCGCACAGACCCCTGCCCACCCTTAGAGCTCCAGAGCTCTGCCCTCCCGCCAGGGTGTGTGAGATGCTGAGCCCCATGAGCAGCACAGGGCCCCACGCTTGGCAGGTGCCCCAGATGGCCGCGGCACGAATGAATGAGTGAACGAGCGGTAGACAGGAGCACAAAGCGCCAGAGCCACCCGCACTGGCTCTTCGCCCTCTGAGGACCTGGATCTCCATGTCTTCTTGGACGGCCCCCTGGATGCGGATCTCCTCAAGGCGGGGCATCTGGTCCTCAGCGAGGGCCACTCTGTACTCCACACGGCTGTCCTCCAGGAGGGAGGGGTGGGTGGTGTTGGGCGCGATGCCGGCTTCCCCAGCTACCACGTAGCGCCCTTGGATCCTGACCGCTGTGAGAAGGAGACGGTCAGCCCTGAGATCCCCAGCCCGTCCCTGGGGAGCTGGTCCTCCCAGCCTCTCCCTCCGTATGCACCCCTCTGCCACGTGCACCCCACCCCGGAAGGCTTCCCTATAGCCTGCTACCAGGCCCCATTTGGATCCCAGTGTGTGGTCACACCCCCCGGCCCTTCCTAGTGCCTCCACACACAGAACACCACCTGTGGTCAGGGCTGCAGCCCCAGGGCAAACATCCCTTTCAAGGGCTCAAAGGTCAGGTGAAGGTGTACACAGACCGTAAAAGGCCCCGTGGCCCTGAACCATGCAGATGTAGCCTCGCCCCAGGAGAGGCCTGACCTCTGCCTGCCTCTGGCTTGGACAGGAAGTGTGAGCCTAGAGAGATAGCCCGCCTGGGCTCCGGGCAGGGGCTGGCCTCTCCAGAGCGGGTGGGGCTGGCACACCTGCCTTGCAGCACAAAGCTGGGCTGGCCACACCAGACAGACCAGCTACATGACTTTGCTGGGGCCCGAGTGCCAGGGAGAAAGACTATCCTGGGATGTCACTGTCCCTCAGCCACCCTATGGAATGAAGCCCAATAGAAACACAAAACCCAGGCCACAGGGAGCTTCCCAGGTTGCCGTGCTCTGTGCAAACATCATGCCTCAATGCCAGAAAGGTGCCAGATCCGTGGGATGCAAGGCCTTCATGTCAGGGCCATCCCGGCCCAACCTTACCCTACCCCTCCCCGCCCCCTCCCCTTTTCCTTTTCCCTGGGCAAACGTGACCTTGAAGGTAGCCACCCTCTGTGACCTCCAAGAGTCACCTGGTGAATTAGAAAGCCAAGGTCACTTTGGGAATCCCCAGACCCACCACTGGGGTCAGAAGAGAGGACATCTTGGGACCAGGGATGGTGGGGGTCCTCGAGTCAACTCACCCAAGTGCGTGAAGAGGGGCCTGCGGTTGACGATGTGCACACCGGTCATGTTGGGAGTGACTGTCAGGAACGTGACATATTCTGGGAAGAGGCAGAGCAGAGGGCTATGGGGCCTCAGGTTGCTCACCTCACTGTCAAAGCCAGCCCATCCCAGCTGCGTGGAGAAATGCTGACTCTGCCATGGGGCTGCTTCTGACGCAGTGAGTGCCGGTCACCGGAGCAAAGCAAACCAGGCTGGCGAGCCACCTGCAAGGGCTCTGCCCCCGCTGGGAACACGGGCCAGCTCGGAGGGTCTCCGGCCCAGCGGGTGCACCTGAGAGAGGTGGGCTCCAGTCCTCCGTGACCATTAGCCAGTGCACCTTGACTTCTACATAGCCCACAGTCAGGGGCTGCCCAGGCGTGACGCTTCCCGTCTGCTCAGGTCCCCCAGCGGGTCTTCCCGAGTGGTCAGAGGAGCCCTGCCTGCCACACGTGCACAGTGTCTATTTCTTCCACACTACAGCTATGGGGGTGCGTGAATATCACCGCCAAGGTCTGAATCGGCCACAGGACAGCGCCAACTCGGGAGAGACCCGCGGAGAGATGCCCACAGAACAGTCTGGGCCAAGGCTCTGGGCTCCTGGGGGCTGTTTCCTCTCCCTACCTCTGGCTGTGCCCCCTGTGAAAGAGCCATTCCGGGGGCTGCATGTGCTGTTGTCCCCTCCGCACACCCGGCACACGTCCCACACCTGCCGAGAGTCCATCCTGCCGTCACAGCCAAATGTCTGTGCAAAGGGATGACAGAGGGCCGGTGTCAGAGGAGGAAGTGTCTCCTGACACCCCAAGCCCGCCGGCTCTGAGGCTCAAGAAGAGAGCTCAGGGGCTCACAGGTGTCCCCCAGGCCATGGTGAGGACTGTGACCTCAGCTACCTCCAATGCTCCCGCATTTCCAGCGCGGCTCCCCGGTGCACCACAGACCTGCCCGGGGCCTTCCACAGGCGCAGGCAGGCCGCAGGGCCTTGAGGGCGGGAGGGCCACCTGGGCTGGCCTCACACACCTACCCGGCAGCTGCCCAGCACACACAGGCTCAGGGTCCCGTCCTCCTGGGGGCCACTGGGCACACACCGGGTCCCGTCCAGGAACCTGTCTCCACGCCTCACGATGAAGCTCTCCCCGATAGCCCAGCACACGTGTCTGCACAGAGCGTCCCCTGCAAGGCCAGAGCGACAAGGAACCCTGAGGCAAGGCAGGCGGGGAGAGCTGCCCGGCCCTCCCCTTGCCTGTTCACCTAACCGCCTGCCTCAGTTTTGGGCAAGGATTTTACCCTAGCTGCCTGCCCTGCCTCCTGAGGCAGCGATGATAATCAAAATCTGATAACGACAGTCTGGATTACGAGCCAAGCACCATGCCTGGTATTTCCCCTGCTTTTTCTCTCCAAATCTTCTCCAACCCCAGAGGGAGACGCTGCCATTGTCTCCATTTCCCAGACAGTAAACTGAGGTTCAGAAATGGGGTCTTACTGCTTATCAGCTGGGAGGCCTGGCCGGGCCTGTACCAGGGTCTTCGGGACACAAGAGCCCGCCCTGCCCAGTCCTGAAGTCACAGTGGCCGCCCCACCACTTGGCCTGGGAAGAGGCCTGGCTCCCAGCGCTGCATGACCCACCTTGGCTGTACTGCGCGGCGGCACCCCAGTGGTAGAAGGTGACGCCCCCCTGGGAGAGGGGCAGTGGCTGGCTGTCCGTCTGGGCACACTGCTCGGACATGAACTCCAGCTGGGTCTTCTCGCAGGCCTGGCCACAGCGGGTAGAGGACAGGCACAGCGGGGCCCCTTGTCACAGAGCCAGCATGCACCCCTTGTGCTGGTCAAGACACGGGGTGACCCAGTCCCGGGCTGTGTGATGGCTTCCTGTGCTGAACAGTGGCGGGGACCAGCGCCTCTGCCTCTCTCTCTGCCAGTGGGAAAGTTCTAGAGAACTGGTAAAGGGCACAGGCAGCAGCATAATGAAAGCAGGAGAAGACAGGAAAAGGCGCTGCTCTTGCAGGGCCCCGAGAAGCAGGGCTGACTCTGGCTGTTCACTGGGTTGTAGGTGATCTCAAGGCAGGAGAGCACAGGGACTGTGGGGTCAGGAGCAGAGGGTGCCCCTCCCACCCCCAGCTCCCGGGCAGGCATCCGGGTCTCCTCTGCACTGGAGAGAATCGGAACTGACCCCCTGGGTATCACTGGTGATGGGAAAGAAGGCAGAACAGGTTGGCATGTGGGCAACAGCCCAGTGGTTCTGGAGTCAGCACACGGTCCTGCAAGCCCACGTGAGGGTTTGCTATGGGTTGATAACAGCGTCCCTCCAAGTCCCTCAACAGGGCTACAAGGGCGGCCTTCGAAGGCGAGGGCTCTGCCTTGGTGGCTGGGACCATGCCCTTCAGAAGGAGTGGAAGGACTGGCAGGTCCCCCCTCCCCTTCCATGGCTCCTGCCACGTGAGGAGATGGGTACTTAGCCCAAAAAAACGAGGACAGGGACCCCAACAGCCCTGCACGAGCTCTTTCTCATGCCACAACTGGCAACAGATGAGAGCTGGCCACACCACCAGTGCCCATCGATACACGAAGGCCAAAGGAACCGTAGGCTGCCTGGCCACACGGTAGCTTAAAAGGAGCCTGGGGTGCAGCTCAGCTGTGGAGCACCTGCCTGGCACACATAATACCCTGGGCTCTACCCCCAGCACCCCAAAAAAGAAAAAAATGAAATAAAAGTAAAAGGATCAGTGGGTGCTGGGGCCAGGTGGAGGGGACCCTGGGGAAGGACTGCTTGGTTATAGAAACATTTGGAGCCATGTAGGGGTGTTCGTGTAAAAGGCACTGGATCGCACACTTTGACACAGGTGACATCATGCTCTGCGATTTCGCCTCAATTCATGAATAAAAGGAGCACCGCTCCTTCTGGTGGTAGGTGGCACTGCAGGGGCAATTCTCACTGGCAGATGCGCCTTCGAGGGAAAAACACGCTTGGGGAGGGAGGGCGTGCTTCAGGGTCTCTGCTGGTCACCAGTAGGACTGTCCTGCTTTGGTCCTGGGGTCCCTCTCAGAGGCAAGATGTGATCCCCAAGTTAGCCACCTGGCCCTATGGCTCAGTCTCTGCAGCAGACCTACCTGAGTGTTACACATCTCGGCCTGTAAATCAGCCCCGGTGCAGGCACGGCCCCCAAAGGCGGGCCTGAAAACACCAAACACAAGGGTGAGAGGTGACCACTGCCCCACTGCCCTACTGCCCTGGGAGGACTGGCACCCCCACGCGCTGTACCTGGGGTTGTCACACCGCCGCCTCCTGGTGGCCACACCGCCTCCACAGGAGCGGGAGCAAGGACTGCTGGGGCCCCAGCTGGACCAGCACCCGTGGACAGCTGCCACCGGCGTCAGCTCCGCCAGGGAGCGGCAGCGACCCTTGAAGCACCACTGCAAGACAGGGACAGCTCCGTGCACACCCCCATGGGGACACCAGTGCACACACACAAAGGACCCCAAACCCACAAGGACCCCCAGAGGGACTCCGCCCTCCTAGGCACCCCTACACCTCATTCTGCTTGGGGCTAAACACTAAAGGGAAGAGGTCAGACCACCAGCTGGAAGGGTAGAGCAAGGGCCTGGCTGCCTGGTGAGCAGGAGGCGTGCCGGAGGGGGCCTAGTGTGGGTAACAAGAGGGTATTCCGGGGAGCTCGGGCCACAGCAGACCTTTCTCTGCACAACAGAGCATGACACAACCCCTGTGTCCAGGGCTGGGGGAGGTGAGATGGGGCCCTGTGCCCGGAAGCGGGGTTCAGGACCCACTCCTCTCGAGGTCGGCAGGAGCTCTGCACTCGCAGATCCCTCAGCCCTGCAGGAACCAAGCAGGATCCCACAGGGGTGTGTTCCGAAAACCCAGACTAAGCCCAGCCTGAAGGGCTCAGGTGGCTGCCAATCAGGTCATGCCCAAGGTGCCCCTGAGCATCTTGCTGCCACCCTCTCCACCACCAGGTCAGAGGGCAGCTCCGGTCTCTCCCCCACCCCCTCACTACTGACCTCCTGCCTCTTGCCCCAGGGACAATGGTCCAGGCTGGAGCGGCCCTGTGTGGGTTCACACCCATGCCAGAGTGTACACACTCCTGCCCACACCTGCCCACATCACAGCTGTGCCCTCACCTGTACACACGCCTGAGCATGTATCTCTGTGCGCTCACCTGTATGCACACTTGCACACACACACCTGTGCACACGGATGCACACGCACACACAGGCACACATACCCACCTGTGCACACATCTGTCTACACTGCACACACCTGTGCACACACCTGCACACATACACATAAGCGCAATCTTTCGTCCTGTGCCCTGACCTTCTCCACGCCGCATTCTGTGCCGTCCAGGAGAGGGACAAGGCGGCGGCTGCAGCTGCTTTGGTCCAGGGGGTCTGTGTGGCAGGACAAGGCCTGGCACATGTCCTAGGACGGAGACAGCAGGTTGCTCAGGAGCCACCGGGCAGTGCCCCTCCTGGACCCCAGGACGTACTGACAGCCAGTACCCTGCTCTGACAAAGGTTATGGAAGTACATGGCCATAGTAGTTTTATGGCGGAAGGAGCCCACCAGGACAAAAGGTCTAGGACCCCCTCATTGTCCTAGGCAGCGCTGGGAGGAAGTCCACCTTTGGGGTGCCTGCCCCCACTGCTGCTCAGTGAGGAGGTTACTTCCTCCAGGTTGGGAGCCCTTGGAAGCTGTCTAGGCTGGTATGCTCACTCACACAGGCATCTGTGGACACATGTGTGTGCCAGGACCATATACATAATTTGCACGGCCCACTCAAACAAAAATGGGAGGATTAGCTGGGTGTGGCAGTGCATGCCTATAATCCCAGGATTTAGGAGGCTGAGGCAGGAGGATCACCATGAGTTCAAGGCCAGCCTGGGCTCTATAGTGAGACCCTGTCTAAAAAAACAGTGTGAGGGCTTTCATTCCAAAAGTTCAGGATTTCAAGAGGTAAACGACAGCTTTAGACTGGGGGTGCAGCTGTCCGTCCTTGTGTCTGGCACTTTGCATGTGGGGAACACACTCACCAGCCCCTCCCTGGCAAAGGTGCAGGCAACAGCAGCTGGGCCAAAGGCGACCTGGCACTGTTCATCCACGCCGTAGTAGAGGCCGGGCTGTGCGTCAGGCAGGTGCCCCATGGGTCCCCAAGGTGACCTTGGCGGATCCCACATGCAGCGTACCTTCCCTGTGCTGGGACAGGTCTTGGCTTAGGCTTGGGGAACGAGGGTCAGGTGGGTGGAAGAGCAGACAGGAGAGGGGTGGGCACAGGCCCTGGGTGGCACAGGCTGGCAAGTGGAGGGGCTAGGTGCAGAGGGAGGTGCTGGTGTGGAGATAGAACTGCAGGTGGGTGTCGCAGGGACAGGACTGCAGCAGGGTGGGCGGAGAGATGGCAGCTTGGGGGCGAGAGCATAAGGGGCAAAGAGTGAGAGTGGGGGGATGGGCAGAAGTGGGTGCAGCGGGGAGGAGGAATCCTGGGACAGAAATGGGTGTGCACCACCTCATGACTGGGGTGCTAGGTGCTGTGGGTGTGGGCCATACCTAAGCAGCCGCTGCAGCTGCCTGCGGCTACAGGGGGACCACACGGGGTCCCTGTGGGTGGTGGCCATGCCGTCCGATGCCATCACATGTCCACTGGGCCCGCAGCCGATGCCAGGCGCCCCATCGTGTTCCAGGCCTAAGCTGAGGGCAGCTGGCATGGTCAGGGGCTGGACCCCCAAGTTGCCAGTCTGGGTTCAGCCCCTGGCCCCACCACCAGCTAACCAGGCACAGTAGAAGTAGCAGCCAGCTCTGCCTGTCTCCTACCTGGGTGCAGCAAGGAGCACTGGCCCCACAGGTGGGTCCTGTCTCTTTCGACAATTACTGAAAGGCTTTTAACATGAGCAGCCCGAACTGTCCCGGAGCATCACAATCTGAGGGGCACACTAGAGCCTGGGGAGGGCCCCAGACACTTTCTTGGGGGCTGCCTGGGACACTTTCTTCCCTGCGCTGCAGGGTGTGCCCATGCACCGCAGGGTTGAAAAGTTCCAGGAGACGAGGCTGTTCTTTCCATTGTGATGCATGGGCTTTTAAGTAACAATGGAAAAGCAGAATTTACAAGGACCCTCATGGGGGCTGACGCCTGCCATCAGATCTGAGGGAGGTCTTGCTGGCCGCTGGGGGCTCTGTACCCTACTCTTCTAAGGGCCCAGTGGGCAACCACAGAAAAAAAAATTCACCTTTCAGTTGGGTGTGGTGGCACATGCCTATAATCCCAGCACTTGGGAGGCTCAGGCAGTACGATCGCCTCCGATTCAAGGCCAGCCTGGGCTGCATAGTGAGTTCAAGGCCAGCCTGAATCATAGACCGAGATCCTGTCTCAAAAAATCAACAAGAAACTTTCACTTTTCATTTAGAAGTCCCTGTACTATTTGACTTTTGGGGTATCACTCTCATCATTGAAAAAAAACAAAAATCATGGGCTGGGGATATAGCTCAGTAGCACGAGTGCCTGCCTGCAAGCAGAAGGTCCTGAGTTCGATTCCCAGCACACACACAAAAAAATTTGCCAGGTATGATGCTGCCTGCCTGTAATCCCAGCTCTGGAGAGGCTGAGGCAGGAAGATT